CTGGGTCCCCCAACGCTGTCCTTGGCCAGGGGACTCCTCCCAGCTGCTGTGCCCCAGGAATGGATGGAGCAGTCCCAGGGGTCACTTTGGTTCCTTTCCTAGGGAGGAGACTCTGGCATGTGTGAGCTCAGAGCTGGCTGGCAGCGCAGCGGTGTCACAGCTCTGTCACAGCTCTGTCACGGCTCTGTCATGGCTCTGTCATGGCTCTGTCACAGCTCTGCCTGCCTTTGGCCTCAGCACGGGGCAGTGAAGGGACACACAGGCCTGTGCCACAGCTCCCTCAACTTTCACCTCAGCAGCCTCAACACAAATCTCACTTTAAGGAGCTCCATTTAAATTTTTCAGAATTAAAAACATGTTTTTACTTCCATGTCACTTCCCTTAAGGTGTTCTTTTCCTGTGGCAATCTGAGGGAAGCACTGATGGGAATTCCTCCTGAGTTTTGTAACTGATGGCTCTACCCTGTTGACACAGGATCTTAAATCTGTGCAACTTCACAGATAGTTCTGGATAGGTGGGGTTATTAGCAAATGACATGGGAAATTGGAACCTGACATGTTTGAGATAAAACTGTAATAAGTTGCTGAACTATAGCGCCTCTTCTTTTCCTGTGGAATGGGTGGGATGTATACTTACCTCATGGGACAGCATGGGAAAAACTCCCTCACATGTGTACAAAACAGACTCATTCTCTTGTATTACAGTCCATTCAGGAAGGTTTTTTTGTTGTACTGCATATGCCTGAAGTCTCTGTGCATAGTAAGACTTCAATTAGCTCCTAAGAAGGGACATCTGTATTGCTGATTCCAGAAAGGAGCTGTCTTTTTCCCACATTTTAGTTATTGATGAACTGTGTAACTTAATCAGCAGTATTCTGTTGCTGGCAGGTAGCTAATGGAAAGATAGATCCAAATATTCATGCAGGAACCATCTCTTACTCTTTTGGTGTGCCAGGCTTCCTGCTGTATGTTGAGAAGAATTGTTGCTGAAGTAATCTTATCAAAGTAATCTGAATTGCAGAATGGAGAAATGTATTTGTTCTAGATGAGTCCTTTATCAATGTAACCATTCTTTAAGCCCTTGGTCTCTGACCCCTCTGTTAATTTCTGTGCACTGTAGTGTCATCACACCTGTTCTAGCCTTGCAATTTCGACAGCTGAATAGGAGAGTGTGTAGGTTTTAATGTGTTTGCACAAAGTTTAGTGATTGTTAAAAGTCTGATTTTTATTGCACTGTTTTATGACTTAACACTGGAATAAGATTCTTTTCCTCTTGGCAAAGTTTTAGTGGTGTGTATGTCGGCTTATTTCACAGCTTTATCTATTTTGTCTAAACCTTTATCTGTTTTATATAAACCACTCACTTCTATCTGAATGCACTGAGTAGCTTAATGTTTTCCCACTGTGATGCTGCAGTGCCTCCCCCCCCCTTCAATAATCCTTTGTGTAAGGACTGTAACAGTTTACATTTACCAGGTTCTGCTGTTTGTCTTTCACCACCAGCAAACCAAATCTTTCCACGTCCTCTCTCCATCCTTGTTTTCTTTCCTAGGGGAACAAAATCACTGAAATAGTTGTCCTTATCTTGAGGGTGAATAGGGCTGAGCAGGGAGTGAGGGGAAGGACTTAGGCAAGGGTTGTTCCAATTGTTCCTTGACAAGTCAGCCACTGCTTACTGGGATTGTTCCTTCATTTTAGTCAGTCAGTAAAGTGGTTTAAGCAATGAATTTAGCTCAGAGATGTTGATTTGTGTCACTTGCTGACGAGCTGCTTTGTTCCTCTGCTATTGTTGACCATGTGTAGGATGTGCTGAGGCACAGTGCCCACACTGCCCCAGTGCTCCCTAGTCCATGGAAAAATCCAAAAATAGTTCCCGAGCCCTTGTTTCTCCCCCTCAATGCTGTTTCCCAGCAGAGTCTTGAAGACCAGCCCTGGCAGTTCCTGAGGATTTGGGCAGGGTGTTTGTACAATGATCTCTCGTGGTGGGACATGCTCAAGGTGTGTCTCCACATGCTTTGAGGAGCTAACAGTGATTGTGGAGTATCCCAGGGCTGTGAGTGCAGCCTGTGTTTGAAATGCTGCTGCTTTTCAACCCTCTACCAAACTGTGCCCACAGACTGCCATTCTTAAATGCTGTACTGAGTGGTGATTCTTGCTCTTTCCAAGGTGCAGAGCTCTGGGAACGGGGTAGAAACAACACTCTAGGCAGAAAGATTATCCCTTTTTTCAGTAGAACATGTACCAGAGCAGCGTGAGGGATCACTGCAGCTCACAGCCTCAGCACAGGGTAACCAGGAGCAGAAGCAAACCTTAAAATGTACTCACTTGTTGGGCTAATGCGTTTCTTTGGGCAGCCAACCAAGAATGTGGCTGTTTGCAGCAGCCTTCAGGGATCTCCACAAGTGTCCCCAGTTGCTGGGACAGCAAAGGCACAGAGGCAGCCAGGCAGCAGAGCAGGAGAGGGAAACCAGCTCCTGGGAGCACTGAGGGAAGCTCCTGAGGTGGGAGGCACAGGGCAAGGTGTGCAGGGGGGGTGCCTGCAGGACTGGGGGTGCAGATTTCACAGGGCAGAAGGAGGAACTCAGAACTCCAGTGTGAACAACTGTTTTTTATTGTCCACCTTCTAAAACAAAGGACAGCAACATGCAGAGTGAGCAGGACCCATAAGCCCAGTTCTTTCTACATTTTAATCTATCTTTTTTGTCCCAATTTCCATGTTTCTGAAATCCTTCTAGCAGGCTGCAGTGGTTTCTCCACCATGGATTTTCTCGCCTGTCTCCCTGCTTAGAGTCATGTCCTACAAAGACTTACAGGATTGTTCTTAAACAAAATGACCAAGATCTCCCCCTAAAATCTTATGAAGGTGTCATCATTCTCAAGATTTCCAAGTAAATTTAATGTAGGTTTAGGGTAACAGTTTTAAAATAAAAGTACTTCCAAGAAGCTGCTTGTTCCATTCCTACCTGCTCCTGATATCTTTTTTCCCATGCTGCTTATCTGAGGACAGAATTGGGGAAGCAAAGGACCCCAAAGAACCCCCTTACACATCTCTGTCCCTCAGATTTAAGCAGAGCACTGAGGTACTGGGGCTGCCAGGGGGTGATGGCGGATGTGTCTAAGCAAAGCACAGTTACAGAGTGTGAACCCACTTCCCAGTGCTCACCACAGGGTGCTTCTAAAGCTTGACAAGCACTTCTGAGATATTTCTGGAGAAGGATAATCCTCTAAACTGGCCAGGGAAAAGACAGCCACTCACAGAGCCTTGCCTTTGAGTGCCAGGTTCTCCCTGCAGCACTGGAGGGAGGTGAGGCAGGTGGAGGAAACAGGCTGTATGCTGGGGTTTTGTCCTGTCCCCATGGCATCAGCTCCAGGAGCAGCCCCCATGAAGATCTTGCTCCTTCCCAGAAGGGCCTGAAACACCCTTCCCTCCAGTGTGCCACCCTGCAGCTGGGAAAAGCAGCAGCTGAAACTATTCTGTGAGAACTCTCATTCTTTTTCTTCCTCCCCCTCAATGAAGACTCCAGCAGCTGAGTTCCAACCATCAGTTTGGGCAGGACATAGACGTTTAGCAGGGCTTTAGGAGATCTCTGGCTTCTGGCTGAAACAAGAATCCCCCCTCAAAGTGTTGTGGCAGAGGCAAACCAGCTTCCAAGTGTGGTGCAAGGGTTGAATACTTCTGAGCACACCCCTGATGTCCATTAACACGTCCTCTATAGCTAAGAGCACTCACACAACGATCCCATCAATGTTTCATAAGCTGTAAGCAGACCTGCACCACGTGAAGTGTCACCATTCTCTGACCCTGGGTCAGCGCCGGCCACCTCCGCTCCCTCTGGCCGGTGTCAGGCACCTAGGTGAAATACTTGGAGGCCCCTCTGGAAATCCTCTCTTCAGCAGCACTGGTGGCAAAGGACACCTCCTCATCCTCCTCATCCAGCTGGAGGCTGCCCGAGGAGAGCCGC